CACCAAAATCATTCCCCAAAGGTAACAGCCACAATTCCAGATCATATACCTTGCACATTAACAGAGTAATGGAGTTGGTAATTGGTGTTGGACGAATTTGGAGCGTCCTTGTGGAGCGCAACCTCAGATGCCGGACATGTTTTGGAACAAGAACCAACATAAAATGAACAAAAGCCCAAGCATCAAAACACTGCTAAAAGTAAGTAGAAGTAATTGAGCTTGAAGATTGATGAGTTCACTGACCTTGGGCGGGTATGGCAATGATTCATTGCCATTAAAAATACCATGAATCCCATCAAAAACCACACTTGCAGAGCTTGTATAGATAAGCCTCTTTACTTTAAGTTCAATGCAAGCATCAATGACATTCTTTGTCCCTACAAAAAAGAGTAGTAGATAGTCAAAATTTGAAAGCAAAATCTAAAGACTAAACACCAAAATCATTCCCCAAAGGTAACAGCCACAATTCCAGATCATCTACCTTGCACATTAACAGAGTAATGGAGTTGGTAATTGTTGATGGACGAATCTGGAGCGGCCATGTGGGAACACAACCTCAGCTCCCTGACATGCTGTAGAACAAGAACCAACATAAAATGAACAAAAGCAACAGGATGGATCGAAAAACACTACACAAGTACATAAACACAGGCACTGCATTTTAAGCATGAATAGACTTTGACGAAGGATTTGACCTTTCAGGACTTGGGCTTTGTTTCGAAGATCAGTGCATGTGTACTGAGCACGGCCAGATTTCAGAGCTTCATCAAGGATTCCTCCCTCTTCGTTAGGGCTGAGCTGGATGGTAGGGCTCAAATCGGCAATGCGAACAGAAAACATGTTGTATTGAATGAGCATCTCCACCAAATGCCGCGCTGCAAAACCTCTCCCACCAGTTACAACGCACCATCTCTCCTCCGACATTGCTTCACTGAGCTGTGCAAATCAGGAAATAAGAAATTCGAAATCGCTTGTGATAAAAGCAGGTGCAAAAAAATGGTGTACGATATTGATCTCTTCATAATCCATTAATCTTCTTAGTCGATGTGATAACAATGTTCATTTTATATGCCTACCTTTTCTTGTGTTCTTTTTACTCTCGTGCTCTGCGATAATGGATCCCGATCAACAAACAGGATATACTAGAGCTGGCAATTAATACTTGAGCAAGTACCTACAAGGAAATTAAGAAGAGAAACTACAAGAAGTTGCCATCATGAATTGAATGGATTTACCAAATAATGCCATTAACACTATATATGAACTAAAGAGGAACGGTAGCCCAACAAACCTGAATGGCAGTGAGATAATTCCGGTAGCAGCGGATTGACAGAGAGAGAGAGAGGGGAGAGAACCGGGACGGGACTTGGGTTGACTGAGAGAGCGAGAATAAGAGACGAAGGCGTTCTCTGAGTTTACAGAGTTGTCAGAAAGAGAGATCGGATTGGAGAGATGAGCTAGCCATGTGAGGAAAATGCAAAACGGCAGAGGTTAACTGGTTTTCTGTTTCGCCATCGGACTCCGGGCGCTTTGTTTGCATTAGCTGTACGGTTGTTTTTATTTATTTATTTTTTCTCTTTCTGGAAATTTGGCAAATCAAACAAACTAAAACCGAGACTCAGAAAACCACAGTCCGTGAATCAGACGGTCTTTCCGCAGCATTTGGGAACAAGTGAATTACAGAACTTTTCCATTAAAAAAAAAAAAAAGGATCAAGTACATTAAACTTTTATTTCTTTAAAAAGTTCCAAGTAACTAATTTGATCCATTAAAATACATTAATTTAATTTGATAAAATTTTAAAAATATCTTTTTTTTCCTCTCCATCCACAAACACCATAATTATGTGTGCATACATATATATATATATATATATATATATATATATCTTGCTCTCATATTAATTGGGCATGAAGCATTTTGCCATTTAACATTTAAAATCGATTAGCATTAAATAAAAAAAAAATTGTCTTTTGTTTTTTCATTATATTTTCTTCTAATTCAAAATTTAAATTTAACTATTTTTTTTTTTAGTGATATCTTATTATCTATTGAATATTGATTCTAAAAAATATTAATATTACAATAATTAATTTTCAATCAATAGTATAATTTTGCAATATTCTAAAAAAGACTTATATCATAAATACAATCAAGTAATCAAACATATAATTCATTCCATCCAAATCTATACATATCAAACACGTTACTTTTTATTATTCAATTTTATGTTCTTTCATCCAAAATATGCACCAACAATCTTTAAAAGTCCAAATACAATTTTATAAAATTTATTTTATTATTAAAATATCATTTGAAATGATATATTTTTTTCTACAATATTATCTAAATTTCATACGATTTTTTTTTTTGAGTAAACAAGTCAAAATGACATTAATAGATTTACCATATAGTATTATACAAAAGGAAAGAGCCTATGATTTCAGTTTTTAGCTCATAATCAACCATGCAATAAAGACCCAGCCTAACTCCTTGTCAATAAATGAAAGAAACTAATTAAGATCCTAATACAACTCCAATATTAGAGAGCTAGCTGTACATAAGTTTATAGAGTAAGCTAGTTAAGCTTTCAATTCAACCAAACCTCTATCCAAGATAGTGTGGTACTCGTGAGGGAATTATACGGCGGTGAGTATGTATGTGTATATATATATGTGTGTGTGTGTGTTAGAAATGAGTTATATATATATGTACGGGGATTTACTTCGATAATTAACCAGAAAAGATGAAGTACAAGATGATGTTGATGGTTTTCTTGATGTTGGTTTTTTCAGCAACAAGAAGTAAAGCTGTCAGAGATCCCAAGTGTTTTCTGGTGGCTAGCAGCGTCCAGTCATGTGCAGATTCTCTTAATTGTCGTCGCTTATTTTTTTGTCCACCTCCGCCACTAACATGCTGCATCGGTCTAAGATTTCTCCAAACACTTAACACGTTTCTGAAACCTTCTTTCACTTGTCAATGCGTCCGTAAATCTTCTAGCAGCTGGTCACGGCCGTCGGCGGACGGTGCTATACGAAAGTTTTTTCAGGGTGATGCTTCTGCGAGAATCCAAGCGGCCTGCTTTGTCAATCTTGGTTTTTCACTTAACGTCAATGCTTCATGTCCCCCATAACTATCCATCTATTTATTATTACTACTACAACTTCATTAATAATAACGTACAAGGTGATATATGTGCTAGATGACTAGTTATATTTTGTGTGTCTCTCTCTCTACATATTCATTAGAAAATAACTTCTAAGGTTGCTGTGTAAGAATATAAGATGGTGTGTTCTTTGACATTATGATAACTTTTTTTCCTTTGGCTATTCTAGAAATGGTATAATTAATACTAGATGTATGTGTAATAAAAAATAATAATTATCAGTATTTAATTATTCGAATAAAGTTACGCCATAAGTAAATTAAATATCCTTATATAACTATTTTATTAATTTATGTTAATAATTTTATAATTAGATTCCATGTAATTAATTTGTTGCTTACACTATTATATTTAAATTATAATGAATAGACACTCAAAAGCTCATAAAACATAATGTGAAATGTCTTAAAAAGCCTATAAAAAAAAATATTCATAATGGAAATAAATTATTGAAAAACTTGAAGAACCATAATCCCAAAATCTCATGTTAAATCATCAGCAACTAATAATAATATATAATACAAAAACTTTGAATTTGTTGTGATATGTACACTGTAGATTGGGTTAATAGTCTTCCACATTTAAAATTTTCTTCCCTCACATAAAGAACCTCTTACTTCACTCAATCATGAAGCATGAATTCAATTAGGTTAAAAACTATAATCTACTTATATAATTTTATTTTATTTTATTTTAAAATATTATAACAAAAATAAAATAAAAATATTAGATTTTTATACGGACAAAGCTCATGCTATTAAAAGAGATAATTTAAAAGTCCAATAACATTAATAATTTAATTGATTACTTTTGAATAGATAATATTTAAACAAAAGCCATATTTTACAATTGATGTTAATGTATAAAGCCACAATTAGAAATTTCTCAACATAAAATATATAGAGACTTAATATAAAAAAAAAAAACTCATTATGTTTGAAATGCCCCCAAAGAAAAAAAAATCTTGTAGTATTTTAAATGTAGAAGTTCGGAACTTAAAAAGAAACAATTGAATGCAAAAACAGAATAATAAAATTAGGGTTTACATTCTTTACACAATAGTTTTAAATACTCAATAAGGATACGAGAATGTCCAATCTAAAAGAACAAACGAAAATAAAAAAAATAAACGAAAAATAGACAACTGAGCATCATAAGTTCACTAGCTTTTGAAAGAGTCCGGGTAGTGAACTATTCACAACCCTCTTATTGATCGGGATCTGAGTCTTGATCCGAAATAGTTAATGAATTAGTGAGTTACACTATCTTAGTAAGAATATCACATTACTCACCTATACAGAAAATAAAAGTTGGTAAAAAAAAAAAAACAATCAATGGACCTCTTAATTTAAATAAATTTATTTATCATAAGTAAAATTATTTATTGCATACTTACCGTTACGAGATTTTCAAAACCGACTTATAGAGACAATAGTTAAACAACATCATAATCTCATATTCAAGTAAATAAGAATAATAACTTTCCTTTTTTATTTACCTATTGGTATTCAAGGGGGTTCATAGAGATGTCCTACTATGCGTGGACTAACATTCAACCTTATCAACTAACCGGCCGTCCTCATATCCCGTCTGGTATGAGCGTCAAAAATATCATCCTTCAATATCTCGTCTAGTATGAGGGTGAAACGGGCCGTCCCTATACCCGTCCGGTATGAACGCCACAAATATCAATCTTTGATATCCCGTCCGGTATGAGACGACGTTCATGGAAGGGTTCCCTATGTACCTAGTCTGTCCACCATCTCCTAGGATATCCAATAAGGATATCATTCATTCGTTCACTTAACTAATCAATTTTTTATTTACATTTAATTTTCAGTTTCACGATTTAACCGTAAATCAACGCAAGAAAAATAATACATGCATCAAGGAAACACAACTGAATTATTTTACCAATTCCAGTATATTATCATACATTCAAAGCTGTAAAATCAA